CAGCAGAAAAAGAATTGTAAGCCTCCAACTTCAGAAAACGCCTTAACCACCGAAAATCAAAATGATTTCTCAACTCCTCTTGTCCATCTGTCTTCTTTCATTACATGCCTTGAGAGCCTGAACTTCTGCAACCAACCAGTTTTCTAAAAAATTAGAAAGCAAAAACAATTCAGCACGCATTTTTTAAATTTCCCTGACCGTGTTAATCAAATTGATATTTTAAACAAGGGAATCTCAGTACACACATATATACAGACACACCTGAACACAAAAGTGTGCACTTCTGTCATACTGAATCACAAGCCGGATATAAACATGCACATGTGATTCTGAGTAGAGATCCCGGTAAACTATGTTCCAATCCGCCACTTGAACTATTTTTAATATTCCACTTAACTTGGATACTGTACTAACAGTAACAGCTATGTTGAACTCTCCAAAGATGTCGCCGCACCTGTGCCGGATCTTCCAAAAATATAGTACTTTTGAAGGATCCGACACACACCCTTTGAAGAGTCCAAATAACATAGACTAGCAGTGGTAGAGCTACCTATTAGGAAGGGGGTTCAATTGCATCCCTTTCGTTTAAATAGTATTATGTTGCATAAAGAGGGTAAAAATAACACCTAAGGGTGTACACTAGTAGTCAATAAAGTAGGTTGATAACCATGAGGTCTCAAGTTCAAACTAGGTGATTTCTTTCCATTTGACACAAAATTTGATGGACAAGAGTTACGTGGTACATATGCTGGTGGGAGACGATAGGCACAAGCTGGTCCAGACGCGGTTTTCAGAAAGAATGGTAAAATAATTTTTTTGTATATCTATACATTATTGAATCCCCTTGACAAGGGGTAAATGTTGTATTCTAGCATTTTTTGAATCCCCTTCCTGGTTCCGCCAGTGCGTACTAAAATACGTAGGTTTCATAATACAACCACAACTACTACTGCACATATGCTATATGAATCCTCATTATTCATGTCGCTCCATTTAAGCCATTTTGAGTAGAAATTATTGTGACCCTTGTTACTCGTTTTCATCATGTTCTTTAAGATAATCTATTCAAAACTAATCTCAGTTTGATCCCCTAAAGCAGAAGCTATAAATAACAACAAAGAGAGCAAACGCAAACCACTAAAAGATTCCTAAATTTTGCATTCCAATTTAAATAGTGCATTTTTTCTCTCTTTCTAAATACTAAAACTCGTATTCATCAACCAAAAACTTAAAGAAAATACCCGTTTGACACAAATGGAAAGAACAAAATTTCAAGCAAAATAGAGAGGGAAACAACAGAAGATACCCTTTTGACAAGACTTCCAATTCCTGTCAGTATTTATCAGACAATCCTGCAAATATAAATCCTTTGATCAGTTCCATTTCAGGGTTTAGAGTTTTAGAATTTAATACTATTATTTCCTAAAAGCGAAAATCTTAAAATATTTAAAGAACCTGTAAAGATAAGTATAGAGAAGAGCATTGGTTGAGCTGCTTCACAGTCTCATCATCTTCGTCGGCGTCGTCCTGGTGCAGCGGCGGCGGCAACGGTGGCGAAGAGGGTGGCGCGTTGGGAGTTTGCTTTCGGTCCATATATGTGCTACTTTAATTGGGACAATTTTTTAGTGGGTCATTTGACCGTATAAAAGTGAGAAACATAAAACAAATTTACCGGTGGTAATTCAAAATTAGCCGTAATTTCAAAAATAATTAAATTTAGCCCTTTTTTATGGCAATGTTCAAAATCCGAAAATATTCCAGCATAATATGCTAGAGTTCGAATTTTTTACATGTAAATTTCGAGCATAACATGTTGGAATTTCATAATATGCTGGAATTTCAACATAATTTGCTGGAAATCCATACACATGTGGAACTTTTAGTATATTATGCTGGAACTTTCAGTATATTATGTTGGAACTTTGTGTGTGCTGGAATTCCAACATAATATGATGGAAGTTCATATACAAGTGCTCCAATCTCCAGTATATTATGCTGCAACTTTCCGTGTGCTGAAATTCCAACATAATATGATGGAAGTCCATACACATGTGTTTCAATCTCCAGTATATTATGCTGGAAGTCTAGAACTTTCTGTATTGCCACAAAATAGTGGTTATTTTTCAATGACTTTGCAAACACTGACTATTTTTCAATTATTAGTCCGAAAACTTACTAGCTCGTGTTATTTTGACCATATAAAAGCCAAACGGGACATATTGCAAATTTTCCAAACCTCCTCCCTTTTATTTAATTCTTTAATATATTTATCTCCTAATTGCACTAGCTAAATACTCTTTGATTGCAAAATAAGAACAAAAAAAGAATATTTTGACCTATTCATCGGGTGTAGCCAGAAGGGTTTACTTTCTTAAGTTATAGACCAGATGTCCCATTAGGGTAGGAGTGGGTGGGGTGTAGGGGGTGGGTCGGTGAGATGGAAAATAGGGCGGGAAGATTGAAAACGGGCTCAAAAGGGAATATTTTCAATATTAAAATTTTAGAAGACATTATTTAAAAATGAGAAATTAAAGTGATAATTTACGTTATACAATAAAAGAAGAGGAAATATTTTACTTCATAGCAGAAGATTTGCTTCATTTAAAAAAGTAAAACTATAAGTATTGGGCTAATACTTATTATTATTTGAGAGATAAAATCTTCTGCTCTATAAGTCTACATGTTAAGGATTATTATTACATTCAAAGTTGGATCCCTAACATGTTCTAAATGAAATATAAGTATACGATAGTTCTAAATGAAGCAAATCTTCTGCTTTATAAGTATACATGTTAAGGATCCAGCTTTGAATGGAACTATTTGAGAGATAAAATCGTAGTAATAATAATAATAATAATAATAATAATAATAACAACAACAACAATAATTTTACTATCTAATAATGGTGACAACAATAATAAAAATAGCAAAAATAACGGTACTAATTAGATTTATTTTGGGATAAAAATAGTAAAATAAATATTCTTACATTATTAATGATATTAGAAGCTCAAAGAGATAGTTTGAAAGAAAGGAGGGACAAAATTGGATGTCAACAATGTTCTGGTACCATGATAAAGATTTGAGCTTAGCTCGATTGAAAGGAGAGAAGATAAATGAACCAGAAGGTTTTAGAACAGACGCTCCATTGGAGAGCAAATTGAGCTGAAATTATTTTCTCAAATCATACTGAATACAATGCATGTGGCTAGTATATATATACACTACAACTACCAGCTAGGCTAACCAATTTTTCTGCTTCCACTAATTCTCTAACACCCAATCACCATAATTAGTTATAACTAACTTCCTAATTATACTCACGTGTTAGTCACGTGCTACTCCTCTCTTTAATAGTTTGATATAGGGGTAGCAAAATGGTTAAAAGAAAACAGTTAACCACCCATATTATCCACTAAAAATGGATTAGATAATGAACTTTTTAAAAATGGGTCAAATATGGATAAGAACCATATTATCCATGGATAAGAACCATATTATCCATTTAGAAAATGAATAACCAATGAGTAATCAATGGATAACCAATGTGTCTAACTTTTACATTTATAAAGCCTCAAATTGAGGGTTCCTCAAGTTAGGGAGACTAAGAATTCTCCCAGAAGTGATCATATGCAAGAATTCATGGATAATATAGTTACCCATTTTATCCGATGGTTAACCCGTTTTTATCTCTATTAAATATTGATTGGGTCGGATAATTGATCTGTTTTTATTACCCGTTTTCAACGCGAACCATATCCGCCCGGACAGGCCCGTTTGCTACTCCTAGTTTGATATGAATAAACCTCTATTAGCACAAGTGTGTGTCTTATTCAAGTCCATACCTCAGTAGTTAATATTCTTTTGTTGGGTAGTGTTGGCAAATGAGGGGCCATATGCTATGGTTGTGGCTACAAATTCTCCAGTATTGCATGTCTACTCTTTTCTTCACCAATCACTACATCCAATTTCAGTAAGGACCCCTCTTTCCCTTTAGTTAAATCCATTTCCTCCAACCCCACTCCCTTTCCCCTCCTACTCTCTCTGTACTCTGTAGCAAAGGTAAGTCTTTTTTCCTTTACTGTTATTGACTTAATTCCCTCATATCTATCTTTCTTGTTCCAAGATTTTAAGTTTTTCTAGTAGCTTTGCTTATTTTTTCATGTGGGGTGTTCATCAAATTCCAAGATTGCAGCTTTATTATTATCACCTCATTTTTTTCATTAGTGGTACCTCTTTGTTGCTGAAACTGAAGTTTTTCTCTGCTTGCTTAGCTTTATTTTGATTGGTTTCATGTGGATGTCTATCAAATTCCAAGATTTCAGCTTTATTATTATCACCTCATTTTTTTCATTAGTGGTACCTCTTTGTTGCTGAAACTGAGGTTTTTCTATGCTTAGCTTTATTTTGATTGGTTTCATGTGGGTGTCTATCAAATTCCAAGGTTTTAGCTTCTTCTTTTTTTTTTTTGTAACTGTGGTTCGGGCTAGCTTGCGCACACCTCGATTAAATCCACGTGGTACCTGGTACCTCCTACCAGCACAGACCAAGATTTCAACTTTATTATTATCCCCTTACTATCGTTCATAAGTTCTACCTCTTTGTTGCTAAAACTGAGGATTTTTTCTGCTTGCTTAGCTTTATTTTGATTGGTTTCCATTCGGGTGTCTATTAAACTCCAAGATTTTAGCTTTATTATCCCCACATTCTGTTCATCAATGGTACTTCTTGGTTACTGATACTGCAAAGATTTCTGCTTTGAATGTGGCTTAGTTTAAAGCAAATAGGCAGTCAAAGTGTAGCTAATTAAGAAAAGAGTTTGAGAAACTGTTGCTAGAAAAAGAGTAATGAAATAAGGAACATAGATAATTGCCTTTTTCATGGACTTCTATAGATGACTGGTGGAATTCATTCAATATGATGGTATTTGATTGAAGATGGCGTTTAACACATTATTTTGACTTATGTGTATTACATTAGTGATAGCTCAAGGAAATATAAAAGTAATGGTTTATAGGAGGTTAGTTTGATGAACACTAATGAATTTGAATTCTTAAAAGTTGTAAAAGTTGGATGAAAATGACGTGTCAAACATTTTTCAAAATCCCGAGAAATCTTATAGATTGGCTTAGAGGGGTACTAATCAGTACCTAAATGGTTTCTTACAAAGGAAATAAAGATTTCTTAGCCTTGATTGAGTCTTTGGGTAAGAAAAGGAGATTTGACGGGACATAAGATAATTGTGGTCAAATCTTTAGTACTGATTTGTGAAGGCTAGGGTGCTTTGGAGTTACTAGTTATTATGCATTCATAGTTGCTTTTTTGGTGATCCTGATTGCCATTTACAATTGAAAACTATTTGACTAATCTAGCATCCAAATCTATTGTATAAAAATCCAAGTATTTTGCTATAGTATAGTAAAAAGAGCTTTTAATTTGTATCAACAAGAGCAGTCGCCTAGTTGAAGCATAACTTGGGGGAAAGCTTACATTCTATCATTCTATAGAATATGGACTCGAGTCTGAGTAAGAAGGACATTGTTGGTCATTTGATTTTGATTTGTAAGACAAAGAAGAAATAGATATTGCTTGGTGCACTACCGTCAAATGTAACTCATCATGATGGTGTGATAATTCATTATTTAGTAGATTGTTTACAATTTGATATGGGGAGAGTGCATTAATACCTTCCTTAAGCTACTACTTCAATATATGGAAAAATTCACACGAAGTTATTGCACCATATTTTGAATGCATTTCACTTCAAACCACAATATAAAATGCAAAATTACTTAAAATGTTGTAATTTAATTATTTTTTTTGTGGTACACTCTACCAACGAGGACATCGTAGAGTAACCTTTGTCTTTATTTACGTTAGTAACCATTTTGATACTAGACATTTATCTATAGTCTAAACAAAAAATCTTATCTGCTTAAAATTTGTTTGCTTTCAGGTTTTTGGTTAATGCTTTGTTGAATATTTCTTCGCCTCTCTGGAAAAGCCAGAAATTTTGCTTTCGGCTTGCATGATATTGTAGATAACCATGGCTACTTCAAATGGGATCATTTATTATTCCGCCAAATCACCTCAACACCCAAAGGTTCACACCCACAGTCAAGGGATTGAACTTAGCAAACACAAAGGATATTCCCCTTTGCCAAGACTAAAGTTTTCTAATAAGGGGTTCTGGGAGGTGTGTGGAAAACTAAGCAACCGTGTCATCTTCAGGGGATCTCCTGTGTTATGTCGTTCAACAGAAACACATGATACTGAGACAAAAGATTTTTCCAGAAACAGTGGTGATTATTCCAACATATCTAGGTAAGCATAGTTCAACAACAAATGGTCAATCAATACATACCAGCAAAAATATGAAAAGAACTGCTTACAAATGAAATTTCAGCTGTGCAACAGTATGATTATTATTACTTATTCAAAGTCTGAACATTCATTAAGAAACTTGATGTTGGCTTCATGCGGAGGCATTTCCTTATTTTTGAGGAGGATGTTGTTACTTGTAGCTTACTATAATACCAATCATCTTTTGCTGCTAAAACATGAGATCATTCTTAATACAGAACTCGGTCATATAGTTCTTTGCCTGATTTGAGCTATTGCACAAGATGGATTTAGATAGAGAATTGGACAGGATA